GCAGGGGGACGAGGCGCGGCGCGCCAGGAAGAGGAAAAAGAAGGGCTCCTGCTTCTCCAGCATCCGGATCTTCCTGGCGTCCGAGTGCGCGCTCATGCTGGCCCAGGGCACGGTGGGCGCCTACCTGGTGAGCGGCCGGGCGCGGGGCAGCGCGGAGGGGGGCGGCGAGGTCTCCGAGCGTGACGCGCGCGTGTGGAACGGCGCGGGGACGTGCAGCGCCGAGCCCCGGCGGCCCCGTCCCAGGCTGCGGAAGGAGGAACGGTTCGGGGGCGGCTGGGGGAAGAGGGCGAGGCGCTTGCAAAAGTGAAAGTCACGCGAGGAGGCTTCCTGGAGCTGGCAGCGCCGGGCTGGTGGCCTGCGCGGGCGACAGCGGACGCGACCTTCGCGCGACGCTGCCCTGCTGCCTCCCCGCCTCGGGGTCGGGGCCGGGCCGGGCCGGGCCCAAGGAACGGACCCGGTTGCGTGGGAAAGAGGAACGCTCCGCCGCGCTCCTCCATGGCTCGGTGCGCTGTGCGCGTGTCGCGGGCGAAGGGGCGCCCGGCACGCGTGCCCAGAGTGGGTGGGGGGGGTGGCGTGAGCCGGGAGCCGCACCGTGCCCGATCCTGCCTCCCTTCGGCTGCCTGCGGGCTCGGGCGTCCGGGCCAAGAGCTGCCTCTTGGCTTCCCACCCGGGCTGTCATGTGCTCCTCCTCATTCTGGCCTCCCTTCTGCTACTGATGCAAAGGCGGTCCTAGATCGCGTGAAGTGCTTCAAACACTGAAGGCACATCTGGACAGGGAGAAAAGTACTCCAGACCCCATCATTCCCCAGCCTGGTCTGCTACGAAATGCTGAGAATTGCAGCCCCCTTTTCTGCCCAAACCTGCACACCCTCACACGTTGAAAAGTACGATATAATTAAGTCTCTTTCCTTGCCCTGTTCCAAGAGCAGGCCTGTGTAAGTGCTTTCCAGCTATATCAATCTCATACATCACTTTCTTTTCCCTCCCCTTTGTTCTTGCTCTTTCCTCCATCCACTTGTAAATTGTACGTTGTAGGTATGGCTTGCCAGCTGACTGCGGGGAGGGGGACATTACAGTGCTTTGTAAATGCACTGCAGAAATTAGCAGGAATATCTCTTCACCGCATGGATAAGCATTACCTGTCACCTGCTAATTCTGTGGATCAAAGCCCTGCTTGACTGCACAGAAGTAGAGCTGCTAAAAGAGAAAGGATGGGTGGCAGCGGCAACCCTAGGCGCAAGCTTGCAGGGGCGGCGGCCTTCCGTTTGGTTATTATTATTATTATTGTAACATTTCTATGCCGCCCCATGATGCCCCATCTTGGTGGACGGTGTTGCAGTGAGGGGGTGGAGGACCATGATGGGAGCGGAGCCGTCTTTCGATCCAGCCGTTCCCAGGATCCCGTGTGGCGGGGGCGGCACGCTGAGCGTGGCACCCCGCGCGTTGCCGTGGCCCAGTTCCATGCTTCAGGCTCTTGGCAGTCGGATGTCTGGCTTCCCTCCGGCCCGGGAGCTCCTTTCGCTGGCAGTGGGAAACGGGATCTCATCTGCTGCACTCGTGCGACGCCTTCTTGAGCGGGTGTTGAACTGTGCGCTTTGCGCCTGAGGCACTTTGCTCCGGGGCTGAGGGGAAATGGGCCGCCTGTGGGGAAAGGCTCTCCCCTCGCCCCTTGGCCCCGAAGCTGCCTCTGAGGCCTACCTCGCAGGGGCGGGCTGCGAGCATGCTTAATGCTCTCATAAATGACTCAGCATCTGCTGGGGGGGTTGCCTTTCTCTTTGTGTGGGGCGGGAGTGGGAAGAGAGTGAGCCCCCAGCGGGGAGAGGAGGCGACTGTGTTTGCAATCCGAGAGGGGCATGAAAGGGATCGAGGAGAGGCTTGCCAGGGCGACCAGCTGCTCTGCTCCAAGATCGGTTGGTCGGGTACCTGTGTGCTAGCATGCCAACTGGAAGGAGACGGGATAGGATAACTGGCCCTCCCCTCCTGTGGCTCTGCTTCTCCCTGGGGGACCTGGGTGGCAGTGCAATGGTTAAGTGCTCAGGAGAGCCCTTGTGTCTTGGTCATTCGGTGTGCTCAGCATAAACCGGCATGTTTGCTCTTGGCCGATTCTGTTCCGCTTGCTTGCGTGTGTGTCATTCAGGAGGGGTGGCAAAGTCCTTTTGCCAGCTCTTCTGAGCAGAAGGAAAACAAACAGTGCAAAGGGTTGGAAGCCGTCTTCTTCGAGGCACGAGGGCTGGGGCGTTCCACATGGCGATAAGGGACAGCTGCACAGATAACTGGAGATGGAGAGAGGTGAACTATCAAACTGTTCTGCTTTGCTGGAAGAAAGTTCCTAGTCCACTTGAGGGACCTTTCTTGAATTACATTAGCTCGGAACCTTCCTACTCTGAGCTTTGCTCCCTTAATTTGTCTCCTTGCATCCCTTCTTGGTCAGATTTTAAATTAGCCTTGGCTGCAAAAGGGTTGATTAAGCACAAGGTGTTCCCTTGCTTTAGGACAGAGTGACTGGGTCGGGTAGCACCCTTTCTTATTTCAAGAGTGAGTGGCAGTGGAAATTCCACTCTCTGAGTGGGAGGTTATGGAGAACATCCACTGTGGATCTCCAGGATGTCTTCTCTGGATGCACTTCTCATGTACGGACATGTTCTGGCATGTGCTGCTGATTCGAGCAAGTCACGATGAACTCACCCTGACTTTTCTTAGCCACCATCTCTTGATGCCAGTTAGTTAAGAACTGTTTAAGCCACCCGGTTCGTATGACCTAAAGAAGCTGCTGCAATCACAGAAGCCACGTGGCTGCTTAACATTTTGTGGGGGGTTTCTTTCTGCTGAGCTACTGGGATATTTGTGAGCATTCTGTGGCAGCTGCTCTGAAAAGATGCAGCAGCTAGCCAGCTCTTTAAATGTGGCTACGAGCCTCCCTGGAAGGCTTCTACTTGCCTGCTTTCTATTGCCAAGGCAACTTAAAGGAATTGGATTGAAATCTGTCTTGCCAAGGAGAACCCGTGAGATGGCTGCCCACACTGCTGATGGCCCCCACCTGTACTGACTAGCTCTCTTCTGCCATTATTTCATGATGCGAGCCATTTTGCTTACGGGAGGGCCCAGATGCCTGATCTATAAGCACAGGAGCCAGGCTCAGTCCTGCAGAAGGCCGAGGATAATTTCTGCTTCCATTTGGTATGGTCCAGAGGAGGGCACTGGGCTACTTAAAGGAAGGATGCAATAATAATAAAGGAGAGATATAATTATAGTAAATAAGGAAACTAAACAGGACTGGTTGCAGATGAACAGCCTCGCCTACTTCACAGGACTGTTGTAAGGATAAGCATGGAGAGGAACCCTGGGTTCCCTGCAAGAGGAAGAAATCAAGGATATAAATCCAGACTAATAAAATAATAATGCATTGTTGGGAAGGGCCTGGAGCAGTTCGACTGCTGAGCAGTATAAAAATTAAATGCATAAATGAAAAAATAAGGGCATGTCAGGCTCACCTGTCCCAGAGGTGGAGGGCTTGCCACTAACCAGGGGCCCACGTGCCTTGGCTGAGCTCGGTCGCCAGCAGTTTCTTCATCTTGCACCCACTGCCTGGTGATGGCATTTTTCAGTGGAAGAAGAGGGAGCAGCATTTGAGCGGTGTGCTTGCAGTAACCTTTCCCTTGAACCCGTGGCACTACGTGCCAAACTAGAGGCGATACAAATAGCAGCTGCAGGGGCTGCATCTCGACTATGGGGGCTGGTTTTTTCTCTTCCTGTCATGATTTCTATGCAAATTTCCTCCTCTCTGCCCCCCCCCCCACACCTGTTTGTCTTGGAATCAAAACCTCTGTTTGACTCCCCATTCTGGTTGCAAATAGCAGCTTGGGGTACATTGTGATTTTCACTGAGACCTTGGGTTTAACTCCTTTCCAGCTCCCTGCAGTGTTCCGTACTGTTTGCTCCCCCTCCCCTGCTTTGGGGGCTTCCGCTTCCACATCAAATGAGGGCAGGCACCTGGCATTCTTGCACAGAACGCCAAATCCCCATCCCTGCACCAGACGTTCCCCGGTGCTCTTTTGAAGGAGCCCATGTCTTCTTCCCTACCCTGCCTGTGGCCCTCGCAGACCTGACTACTCCTGTAATGTAGCATTGCATTAGAGGCTGGCTACGGGATTTAAATTTATGTTTGCTCCTGGCTGTAACTAAAATGCGTAGACAAGGCTGAAGTTGGAGTAACTGACGATGGTGGAGGAAAAAGCTGTCGTTGCTCAGAGCATGGATGTAATTTGGCCAAAGGACTTCATTTCTTTACCTGTGATGAGCTGCACAGCAATATGCAGTCCTTACAGCCTGGTGAGGTGTGCAAACCCACCGAGAGGTAGCTTCACAGGCAAATCCAGAGTGTCTGACCATTTGCTTTGCCAGCACTCTAAGTTTGAAGCATCCTCTCCCCCTCTTTTGTATAAAGCTTCTCATAGATGCTGCTCACAAAGGTGTTCAAATGACAGGCTTATCTTTGATCTGGAAGACCAAACTTAATTTTGTGTTGCATCAGTCATTCTTTTATTTTACAGCACTTTAGTTGTGCAAACAGAACAAAACAGAAACGCTTCACTGTTCCAGGTGGACAGAACGGTGGTTCGAGCAGTGACACAGATGGGTTGCAGTGTGCGACATAATTTGCAGAGGGTTCCCCAGGAGGCCCGCCTGGCTGGCTGGCTGGCTGGCTGGCTGGCTGGAGCGTGTTGGGGTTGCAGCTCCACGCATCTGGATGGCACCAGCTCGGGGAAGGCTGCTTCCAGATGCAGCGGGGGTAGCTAAGCGTTGGCTGTCCTATAAGCCTGTGGCTAACGTTCCCCGTTGCAGCAGGTGACTATTGGGATGGCAGAGTAGGATCAAGGGCATTCTCCCGCTTGCTGGGAAAGGGTCAGACAGCACCTCGCTTGCCAGTGCAGCTCCTCTGGGGAAAGTGAGAGGACAGCGGTGGGACAAAAGCAACTGTTCGGTTTCTCAACAGGTCCCTGTTTCAGCATCACAGGCCTTTTCTTGTGATGCGTGGCTGCAAAAGATGTACCCAGCTGTGTGCTGGCACATTTGTGGGGAAGGGAAGGCCCGGTAGGCCTGGCCTACGCACTCTTGCTGTGCATTGTG